GACCTCACAGTCCATGGTGATCACAGAACAGCAGAGGCCGGAGTCACCGTTTCTGTAGCTGCTCGGCAGAGAGCTGGTGGTGTATTGTGTAACATGTTGAGTTGCTGACCCTGTGCTTGGAGGTTCAGATCCACCCCCTGGTCTTAGGGGAAGCTGGGCAATCCCCCTTACAGCACGCAGAGGCCGGTGGAGGGTGGCCGTCAGTGGGACTGGACTAGAGCGGAGGGTGGGGCTGTCAGGTGATGCCCCTGAGGCGGCATGCGCCCTCCTGTTCTCTGTTGTCTTTCTCCCTGACCCGGAAACTCGAGCTGCAACAGTCTGACCTGTCCAGTTGCCACGCGGGGAAACTGAGGCTGAGGGTGGCTCCGCCTGGGGAGGGGCCCGGCAATCGGGGTGGCTCGCGCACCCAGGGTTCCAGCCTGCTCACGGCTCGCGCACCCAGGGTTCCAGCCTGCTCACCGAGTCTCCCCATGCCCACAGGCTGCAAGATCAAGGCCCTTCGCGCCAAGACCAACACCTACATCAAGACTCCAGTCCGCGGGGAGGAGCCCGTGTTCATAGTGACCGGCCGGAAGGAGGACGTGGAGCTGGCCAAGCGAGAGATCTTGTCGGCGGCGGAGCACTTCTCGGTCATCCGCGCCACGCGCAGCAAGGCCGCGGGGCTGCCCGGCCCAGCCCAGGGGCCCCCCAACCTGCCGGGCCAGACCACCATCCAGGTGCGAGTGCCCTACCGCGTGGTGGGGCTGGTGGTGGGGCCCAAGGGCGCCACCATCAAGCGCATCCAGCAGCGGACGCACACGTACATCGTGACCCCGGGCCGTGACAAGGAGCCGGTGTTCGCGGTCACGGGCATGCCCGAGAACGTGGACCGTGCGCGCGAGGAGATCGAGGCGCACATCACTCTGCGCACGGGCGCCTTCACCGATGCCGGGCCCGACAGCGACTTCCACACCAACGGCACGGACGTCTGCCTGGACGTGCTGGGCGCCGCTGGCCTCTGGGCCAAGGCCCCCAACACCGGACGCCGGCCCTCCGCCGCCTCTGGCCTGCGCGGGGACGGCGCCCTGGGCGCACCCGGCGGCCCCGAGGCTTTCTACGCTGGCGCCCGCGGGGGGCCCCCAGCCCCTGACACGAGCCCCCCCAGCCCCTATGGGGGCTCGGGCAGCGGCAGCTTCACCTTTGGCGGGGACGGCCCCAGCGCCCCGGGCTCCGCGCCCCCCGTCCCGGACGACTGCGACTTTGGCTTCGATTTTCTGGCCCTGGACCTGACCGTTCCCGCAGCCACCACCATCTGGGCTCCGTTTGAGCGGGCTGCACCCCTGCCGACCTTCAATGGGGTACCGCCCACCGGGCTGGCCCGCCGGCCCAGCGCCACGGGGACCCCCGGCC